CTGAAACCTATCGAACCCATCAACACATGGGCTGGGTTTATCGGCTTTACTTTCCTTTCGAAGGAAGACGTGACCAGTTATTTCTTATCCTTAGAAAAATCCCAACGACCTCGGCTGGGATTGAACTAAGTCACACTGGGGTGAGAAATTAGACACACTTTCCTTTCAACCACATACGACGGCTATTGCTTATTGTTGTTGATGAAAACGTATTGTATTGGTCAAATGATCATACATTTTGTTTTCATTGTTTTTATTATAGTCACTTCAACACTCTCATTCATTCGTGATTCGTCCGGGATGAGATTTGAACTCGTTAATTCTAATTAACCCCCACTTACGGTAATTACCGTAAGTGGGGGTGACAATGGGCCAAAAACTCAAAATTGTTCGTTACAACATTCACATTTTAGCATGGAAAACAATTTTAAGCATGTGAATATATTCATCAATGAAATAGTTACGACTGTCATGGAAGTGCTTGGTTGCAATTGACATTTCATTTAACTAAAGTTATATAAAAAAAATAGACCAATGTAAAACCTTAGGTTGGGCCAAAGCATACATTTGGTTAAAATTTCTTAAAATATGTTAATGTAGCGTAGCTATTATGAGTACACTTGGTTATGATCACAATCTACTTTGTATGTATGGCTAAAGATCGTGTGTAACTCTCGTCTAGCCACATAAAAGTGTGTTCAAACATTTGTTTGCCTGTGGACATTTTTACACTAAACTATACAGCACTATTTAAATAACACAACTGGTTAATGATACCTACACTTTACTCCAGGAGTGCAAGAAACATATTCTAGTCATCATTTTCTGTATATTCAAGGTATTTGCACCAATAAACAATTTTCAATGTTGGCCCATGCCACGGTGCCACGGTAGTTAAAAAAATTAATCATAGAAAAAACGTTTACATTAATGGTAATGTACTAAAATTTGATCGAGAAAAAAAAAAATAGATTTGTCTATGGTTGAAATAACTGTCTTCCCTCTTTTAAATTTTTAAATTCCCATTAACCATAAATTATTATGTGCATTACAACATATTTTAGTGAAATTTTACTATTAATTCAACTTTTTAATACTGCAATTCTGTCACTAGTGGTTAAGCACTTACTGCAGCTTTATGTTCGTATTGTCCTGATTTTCCGCTATATTTTCTATATCATGTCAATTCTCGTACTCAGTTAAATTCTACAAATAGGCCAACTGCACGCTATAAACTTCAGACCAATCGAATAAGGTAGGTAAATACAGAAACATCCGCTAGAATGCAGACAGCAAAACAGTTTTCCTCCCGCTGAACTCTTCCTTTCTCGCCAGTGCACTTACCAACACTGCACACTCACTTCACCTGCACCTGCACCGTTGCGTTGCTTTAAGTTCCTATATAAACATAATGTCATTGCTCCTGTGCTTTCAACAGCAATCCGTCCACGCCAACATACCTGAGGTTTATGGTTTTAACTCCTGCATTCTTCGCTTCCTTGCTTCTTTCTCTCGCCTTATTGGGTGACTGACACGGTATGGAACACAAACACCTGCCATGCTGTGCCACCTCTTCCTCCACCAACCATATCCTTACCACAAACACATGCCAAGCGTTTCATTCATTTTGCAGCATGACGTATATAGCTATGTGTAGTAGCGTGTGATATGACATTGAAATGTGGATCGATTTTTGTTTTGCACCGCTCAAAACGGAGCTCCACACGTAAACTCGCACATCAGCCACAAGCGGCACACATTACAGCTTTGAGCATATTAATTGAAACAGCTGAAATTTTAACGCCTTTTAATCCGTTTAATAGCAGCCTTGCATGTAACCAAATAGAAATTTTGTGACTTGGTAAAGAACTTTCGCTAAAGGGTGGTTTTGTTCCTAGATGGTGGGTGATTCAGGAATATTCAAAATTTCTATCGGAATATCGGATGATAATATTACTGGCTCATATTTGGGATTAAAGTTTTTGTTAAATATGTATAACAAAGCTGTTAACAAACATTTCATAGAAATAAGTTAAAATACAAGTATTTTTATGAATAAGAGATTTCAGTTGCTCCAAGTTTTATGCTTAAAGATGTGGGCTGGTGAAATTTACATTTCTTTTATAAACTTTGAAACAATTTTTCATTTTTATGTGTGCATGTATTGATTTTAAATAAACTCTTATTTTATCTTTGATATTTGAGCTTACGTTATTAAGTTGTCTTTGCATGATGGAATTCTACCGTAGAGTCCTGGCATTGATAAAGAAGTGAGAATCAGATTTTAAGGAGAAAGGCTCAGTTTATTTATTTAGGTTTCTAAATATCCCAATTCATACGCCCTATCGCTCTCAATCCTTATGAGCCTATTAAATGCTAGAAGCCATCTGTAAAGAGGGCAACAGTAGGTGGAGCAGCCTGTGAAGACTACTCAATGGTCTAGACTGTACAATTAGTGCCTATGATTTTCCGACAACCGACAAGTGATGTTTTACTGCTGATTTCCACGAACTAGTGAACCGTCTTCCAGGTAAGCTGAACCAACATTTTCTGCGAACAGGCTTTTCAAATCAAAATAGCAGTCGGGCTTGAGCGTTTTCATGACCTAGCACTCTTATGTACAACATGGAATTAAGTTGTGTTGCAGCACGCCATCAAACATGTGGGATGCAAGCGATGCGAGAGATTATAATAGAATGGCGCTGCGTTTCGAAGAAAACAAAATTTATGCTAGGTTAAATGTCTAATAGTCAATCAGAATAAGATCGATGCAATAGAAGGTTAAATCTAAATGAAATTAAATCGATACCACGTCTCTAGCGGCACCGGTAGTGTTGTGGTAAGCGTGATTACCTTTCACCCCAGTAGGCCTGGGTTCAATCCCAGTTGGCGCCACCGGGATGTTCTGAGGCATAACATCTCTGATCACGCCTTCCTTCGGTCCCCGGTTCATGAGTTGTTGGGTCGATAGGTTAGGTCCCTGGCGTCGGTAGCATTGGTGCTCAGCACGGAAAACAAGATCGACGGAAAACAAATTAAGGAAAAACAAAAGATACCACGTCTCAGGAGTTGTAATTTACGAAAACAAAACAAAATATGATTATTGTCATTATTAAAACTCTTTGATAATTCGTGGCTGGCACTGCTATGCTTTATAAAATGCATAAAAGAATTAAAAATTCTCATAAAATGAGGGAAATGGATGTAATTTCGGCCTAAATGCCCCTAATTTGGGCCCATACATAAATTCAGCGATCTAGATAAAATTGATAAATAGCAGATTTTTAGCGATGGGCCCAATCTTAGATCCACTGCTTCATCAGCAGTTCTTTCGGTCGATGCAACGTCGACTTTGGAAAGCAACAGTTTCGTGATGAGTGTGTGAGTGTTGACCACGTTTTGTGTCCATTGCTGCAATGGAAGCGCTTTGCCCCACGATGGCGTAACTGCCATACAATGAAACCATTGGAAGCGACTCCAGTTCTGATGGAGGAGGCTTTTTGGATAGCGGAAGATAAAGTGTTTATTGTTTTATACCTTTTGACTATAATTTTAAGATGTATTGCATAGTGACTGTTAAATAGTTCAACGGGTAAAGGATTTCCGAAATTATTATTCTCGAACCGGAAACGAAATAAAGACGCACGATCCAGTTGCTTTTATGCGATGCGAGAGAATATAATTTTCCTGTCAATCATACAATAATAACGGCGCCGGTGGTGTAGTGGTAAGCGTGATTACCTCTCACCCCAGCAGGCCTGGGTTCAATCCCAGTCGGCGCCGCCGGGATGTTTTGAGGCATAACATCTTTGATCACGCCTTCCTTCGGATGGGAAGTAAAGCCGTTGGTCCCCGGTTCATGAGTTGATGGGTCGATAGGTAGGGTCCAGGTGTGGGAGCTGCCTTCCTGGCACGTCGGTAGCATTGGTGCTCAGCACGGAAAACAAGATCGACGGAAAAAACAAACCAAAAGAAAAAAAAAAATCATACAATAATTTCATTAATTTGCATATACATACAAGTGTGCATAATATTGGCAATTGATGTAAGTTTTGTTTACCTTCATATAGGTTTCATTCTGGATTTAACTTAACATTCATCATTCACTTTCTCAATTATGTTTAGCCCTAGATGTAAGTGTAGGTGATAAATTTTTACTTACGTTTAGTATCCTTTCCAATATTTCCAGGGTAGTTATAGCATTAATCATTTAGCTGTAAGTCCGGTAGCATAGAATTCTTGCCGGCCCAGTTTGTGGATGACAATGGATTCAATAGGAATGTAGGCTATCAACTTTATAAAAAAAACAATGTTAGCTATAATTAATCTTAATCACCTCAACACTGCTTACCAGTTCTAGCTTTAGTTCACTTTAGTAGTATAGTTTGTAATTTACTTTGATTTACTAATTAAGATTTTAGTTTCTAGTACAATAAGCAGCCGTAAGTAGAATAACACGTAAATTAATTGCGATGGCGAATTCACTTTTTCTTTTTCAACAGGTTTATCTTTTGTTTTCTTTATTGTTCGTTTTTACTCACCCGGGGTGACAGTCCGTCAAACCTGTCACTCCGTCGTTATCGGAACTGCCACAGGGATGCGCCCCGCGCGATGCTGTCGGTGTCAGGGTGTATTAAGCTGAAGGTGTGCGCGCTGGCCTAATGGCCAACACTCCCTCCAGGGTACGCCAACTACCGGTTGGCTTACGGCTCGACGCGCTGGACATCTAACACCGCTGACTTGGTTGCCGGACGCTCATAGATTCCGTTGACTGTTTGTACAGTTGCTGACCGGACCTGTCCGTCTCGACCGGAGTTTGTATTGATGACCCTTCCTTTCGGCCAGCAGCTCCGGGGCATCTTAGAGTCTATGATGATTACTATGTCTCCAGTAGCGATAGGCTTCACTGATTGGAACCATTTGGACCGACGAGCGATTTCTGGCAGATAGTCGGTAATCCACCGTTTCCAGAACAGATTAGCTAGTATCTGGGAGGTGCACTAGTTCTGCTTCAGGGCAAGACCGCAGTCGGGACTCGTAACCAGTGGCTTCGTACCGTTTGAAGAACCAAGCAGGAAATGGTTCGGGGTTAGAGCTGGAGCGGAATCGTCATCTACTGGCACGTGCGTGAGTGGTTGACAGTTTACTACGTTCTCAATTTCGGTGAGAGTGTTCCTGAGCACTTCGTCGGATGGTTTCTTCGTTGTACAAACGGCCATCACGGTACGTATTAGTCGCTCCCAACTTCCGCCCATGTGTGGAGCTAGTGGGGGATTGAATACCCACTCGGTTTCGGAACTAGTGAACTCTCGCATGATCTCGTCATGGTTGATCACTTCTTCCAGCTTTTTTAGCTCTCGCTCCGCTCCGATGAAGTTAGTTCCTCGGTCGCTGTAGAATTTACGGGGTTGACCACGTCGAGCTATAAAATTGCGGATTGCCATGATGCAGGAACTAGTGGTCAGCGAATGGACCACTTCGATGTGTATCGCCCGAATGGTCAAACAGGTAGCTAGCAGCCCCCAGCGTTTTTCGACCCTCCTGCCGATGACGACTTCAATTGGGCCGAAGTAATCAACTCCTGTGTGCGTGAACGGGCGTGAGAAGGCTGCTAGACGACCAGGCGGTAGGTCGGCCATAAATGGAGGATTCGGTGCTGCACATTCGATCTTGCATCTTTGACAATTTCTTCGTACTTGGTTGAAGCATGAGCGTATTCGGCTGATTTGGTATTTTTGCCGCAGTTCGTTTATCACTGTTTCGTGGTTTTGGTGGTGGTATTTATTGTGGTAGTGTGATATTATTAAGGTAGTGATGTGGTGCTTGCGTGGTAGGATGATGGGTTCCCTTGCGTCTTCGGTGGCGTACTGGCAGGCTGCGATACGGGTTCTCATTCGCAGTATGCCGTGTTCGTCTAGCCACGGTGTCAGTTTGTACAGGGAACTGGATTTTGGAAGTATCGCTGTTTGTTCCCTTCCGTTTTGTGGTGTATTCTGAAGGATGGAGAGTTCTTCGGAGTAACCTTCTTGCTGCCCGATGCGGATCAGATATACTTCTGCTTTACACAGTTCGCTTTCAGCGAACGGTCCCGTTTTAGTCGACAGCTTCTGTTGCTTGAGACGGCGGTTTGCAGTGAACCGTAGAACCCACGTGACTACGTTTGTCAATCGATCCCAACTGGAGTAATCCACGGTGCAGACGATTGGTTCTGGAAGAGTGTAGTGTGTAGTGTGTAGTGTAGTGCTGTGAGTTCGGTATCTGTTGACTCGTTTTGGATTACCGATTGCGGCCACTTGTCATCAGTTGTCCAAAGAAATTCCGGTCCGTTGAACCACCTGCTCTCAGCAGATAGATCGGGATGCGCGTCCCACTTTGTGCCATCATCAGCGACGTTTAACCTGCTTGGTACGTATCGCCATTCATGTGCTTCCGTAGCTTCCAGAATTTCCGTAACTCTGAACCCGACGAACTGAGTGTATCGCCGATGGTCGGAATTGATCCAACATAAAACATCTCTTTAGTCCGACCAGTAGAACCTCTTCGTGATCCGCATAGACAGCGTCTTGTTAACTGTACGAGCGAGTCGTGTTCCGATCACTGCTGCTTGTAACTCCAGTCGAGGAATCACGCGATGCTGTCGGTGTCAGGGTGTATTAAGCTGAAGGTGTGCGCGCTGGCCTAATGGCCAACAGTGACCAAGAATCGTCGGCTCTGTAAAGTTAATTCGTTTGAGCCTTATCAAATAAATTAATGGACAAAAAAACAGTTTGCTACAATCTTGACTCAGGCATCAATTGGATTCCAAGAGCCGTTTTCGTGCTATGATTGGTTGAAAAAAAAACTAATATAGGCGAGAGTCAAAATAGCTGAATTCCAGCACAAACTTTGTTCATTGCCCCTTGTGAACAATTATGCGAAGTTTCATTGAATTAAAAAAAAATCGATTTGTCAGTTGGCGTGAATTTGCTAGCATGGTTGGTTTTGAAACTTTAAGATTGCCATTTATTGGCACCCTAGTATACACGTCTGAGCGTATACCTCAATTTTCTTTCTCTGAAGTTACATGACCTCTGAGTAAGTAAAGTAATTTTTATGTTTTTAATGAGAAGCATGCTACAGCATTTCTAGTTATAAAGAAGATTATTATCCAGCGCCTAAAACGTCAAGTACAACTGAATATAATTATAATTGCTAATAATTAGTTATTTACGAAAGAGAAAGTCGATGAAAAGAATCGATCAAAGCAGGCCTGTTGACAGTTCTAGTAGAATCGGAGATAAGAGAGAAGAGAAAAGAAAATAGGTCGACTCGAATGACAAGTAGATTCGAAACGAGATGTGAGCCATCATCAACAGTGAGGCTCATAAGTATTGGCTATTTTTATTTTATGTTTTATGTTGTCTGTGAACCTAGATGTAAGAGAGAAATAATTTATACTTCACTTCAATTTCAACCTTCGTAAGAATAAGATCGACTAAAGTAAAACTTAATAAAGAACGTAGTGTAGTGATTTTTGTAGTAGCAATCTAATAAAGTTGTTTTATAGTTAATAAAGTGTAGTTTAAAGAAAAGACGGAAGTGATTTTTATACTCATCATTGTCGACGGTGTGCTTGAAACTAAAAGGAGGAACTTAAGCACAAGTAGAAAAACAGCTGTACAGAAAGGAATTCCATATTTGCGAAGTTCGTGGTTGGAACGCACACGGTAAGGTCACAACATTGGTGCCGTGACCAGGATCGCGTTCCAAGGAAGCGACGGGGCGTCAGTATCGCCATTATTGACGCGTAGTCATAAAAGGACTATCGCCATACTGGAAGGTTCGCTACTACAATAAGAATAGCCATAACTACCTTTGATGGCCTGTGAATAATTGGAAGCAGCCATCACACTCCTATTGTTTGATTGGCTAGTGGACGCCATTGGAAGTTACCGGAGAAGCCAGTAGAAATTGAAAATTCAAGGCCTATTTGACAGGCTCACAAGGTGAGTATCTGTCCAACGCATTACTTTCTGCTTTCATCTCTACCTGGTCGTTTTTCCGTTCCATTTCTCGGTACTACTGTTCAATTACTACGCTTCTGGACTTGGTGGTCGATTACTCTCGGACAAGGGAAGGTTGATTCCGAACGAAGTTCACCCGTTAGGCCATTCTACTCAAGACAAAGCTGTCATTACAATTAACTCGAAACATGCTATAAAAATACCCTTTGCGTCATCGGTCGTTAATGGAGGAGTTTTACTACACCAGATTGTGATACGATAAACTAGATCTCTGAGTCAGCTGTACTGGTACCTTGCCTTCACTTTTGGAGAATATTGCTGTTTGCGGAGAATATATATATATATATACAAAAGGCCTGTTTGACAGGCTCACCAGGTGAGTACCTGTTCAAACCGATACATTTCTCCCACAAGAGGTGCTTTGCGTTGTCCTTTTTACAGGGTTAGCCAGTTGTATAAAGTCCTTCAAACTGTCTGCGGAGAATATACAGAAATACAAGGCCTGTTTGACAGGCTCACCAGGTGAGTACCTGTCCAAACCATTATATTTCTTCCGCGAGAGGTACTCCGCTTTGCCCCCTTTGCAGGCTTTATCAGCTCTTTGCAAACTCCTGCAACGCTCTTCGATTAGTTTGTACGTCAACAATCATGGGGAAGAAGATCAAACCAAAAATCCACATACGAGATGGTATCGTCGATTTCCTTCATCGGACGGAAAAATTCCTGAAAGCCAGTCAAGCACCCGATGAGTATCAAATCAAATTCCGCTTAGAGAAACTCGAAGCAAAGTGGGACGAATTCGAGGAGATACAAACGGAGATTGAAGGCGCGGAAGAACATGAAGATAACATGGTACAACATCGGCAAGTGAGGGAAGAATTTGAGGAAATGTACTTCCAGGTAAGGGCAGGGCTGGCTGGTAAATTACCCCGTGACATACCACAAAATGCATCACAAAACGTTCCATTTGTTACACAAACAATCGATAACGCAAATGTGCACACGTATGTACGTCTACCTCAAATTAATCTACCGGAATTTGACGGGAAGTTTGAAAAGTGGCTTGCATTTCATGACACTTTCAAGGCCTTGATCGATTCTTCTCCCGAACTGAGCAATATTCAGAAGTTTCATTATCTTCGAGCTTCTCTGAAAGGTGATGCATTGAAACTCATAGACTCATTTCCAATGAGTGATGCAAATTATAGGGTGACTTGGGATAGCTTAGTCGCTCGGTTCTCCAATACCTATTTGCTCAAGAAGAGACATTTAAACGCTTTGTTTGAGTATCCTAAGATACGGAAGGAATCTGCGGTTGGTATCCACGAGCTCATCGACTGTTTCGAGCGGAATACGAAAATTTTGGATCAGCTAGGGGAGAAAACAGACGGATGGGGAGCCATGTTGACGCATCTTATGGTCGCAAAACTAGATGACGTCACTCAGAAACAATGGGAGGAACATGCTTCAGGTGTTGATGAACTGGCGTTCTCTGTACTAGTGAACTTTCTCAAGAAACAGACGCGAGTCCTGGATGCAGTTTTGGTGGATCAACGTTCATCAACTTCAAGTGCTTCATCTTCCTTTGGTGGATCCAGATTTCGGTCAGCAAAGGTTTCGGTCAACTCGGCGACCGAAACTTCAGGTCATAGCTGTATATTCTGTAATGAACAACATTTCATCACACGTTGCCCAACATTCAACAAACTTGCTGTAGATAAACGTCTGCAATTTACTAACTCCAAACGACTCTGCAGCAATTGTTTAGGACGGAACCACTTGGCAAGAGATTGTCCCTCTAAGTTCCGGTGTAGGACTTGCTCCAAAAAGCACCACACTCTTCTCCATCCTGGATTCCCTGGTTCTGGTTCCTCTTCAACATCCGAAATGGATTTAGTCGTGCCTCCTACTGCTCCCTCAAATACTGGTGGTGCATCGAACTCTGATAATTATGGTTCAAGTTCAGTTGCAAATGTTTCTTCAAACGTAGCAATGGGAGTCACTAACTCGCACGTCTTCTTACTCACGGTTGTACTGAAGGTCAAGGACAAATGGGGAAGGACGCATCTCGCAAGGGCACTCTTGGACTCCGGGTCACAGGCTAATTTAATGACGGAACATCTCTGCCAACTATTAAAACTACCACGTAGTGACAAGAAGGTGGAGATCAGCGGAATTGGGCGATCTCGACGGCAAATTGCTCATGAAGTATCGACAATCATCAGCTCTCGTACTAGGGATTTCTCCATGCCAATGGATTTCTTAGTCATGGGGCAGGTTACGGACGATCAACCATCTACATCTCTCCCGATGGCAAATTGGAAACCACCACCGGATATGCAACTAGCAGATCCTGAATTCTTCTATTCGGGTCCGATTGACATTGTCTTAGGTTCGCAGTTCTTCTACGATTTTCATCTTCTCGACGGTGGTCGGCTGCAAATACGCAAACTCGATGGCACACTACCAGTGTTTGTCAACACGGTTTTTGGATGGGTAGCTGCAGGCGAATCGGAATGGAACAGCGAAACTTCGAAAGTCAATTGCCAGTTGGCAATAGTGGATCCACTGGACAAAAGCATTGAAAGGTTCTGGGCTATCGAGGAGTTAATTGAAAAACCACCACGATCACAAGAGGAAGAAGATTGTGAGTCTCACTTTCAGCATACTGTTACGCGAGATGAAACTGGACGTTACGTAGTTCGATATCCAAAGCGTATAGGGTTTCACGAGATGATTGGCGAATCAAAGAGCAATGCAATGCGGCGACTCCAACAATTGGAAAGACGTTTCGGGCGAAACGCGGATCTACGGAAGCGTTACAACGAGTTCATGCAAGAATACTTGGATTTGGGGCACATGAAGCTCGTTGGTACTGCTGAAAACATTGGGGAAGAAAAATGCACGGTTTGCTATCTTCCACATCATCCAATCTTCAAGGAATCCAGTACCACCACTAAACTGCGTGTGGTTTTCGACGGCTCAGCGAAAACCTCCACGAATTATTCGCTAAACGATGCACTACTCACAGGACCAGTCATACAGGATGAACTGCTGGATCTAATGCTCCGATTTCGGAAGCATCCGGTCGCATTGGTAGCAGACGTTGAAAAAATGTACCGGCAAATTCGTATTCATCCAGAAGACACTCCATTACAACGGATTCTCTGGCGCTTCGATCCCTCGGTACCCGTCCAGATATACGAGCTTCAAACCGTAACATATGGTCTCTCTCCATCATCATTTCTAGCGACTCGAGTCTTAAAAAAATTGGCAGAAGACGTTGGACACCTGTACAAGGTTGCAGCACCCACAGCAGCGAATGACTTCTACATGGACGACTTTATTTCTGGGGCAGACTCTGTGGAAAAAGCAGCGCTGCTCCGAAAAGATGTGCAGACGCTAATGGCGGAAGGCGGACTACAACTGCGAAAATGGAATTCAAACAAACTGGAAGTTCTAGACGATCCACCAACTGAAGCAAACGGAAGACTATCAACGATGCATTTT